CGTGCAGACAGGCCTTTTGTACTCTTCCACACCCAACTGTGGGGGGGCCATTGTAAGTCAATTTGGTAAATTCTTATATATTTGTATACCTTATATTAAATCTGTTTACTCTAGTAAGCACTGACTGATACACAATGGGTATAGGAAAACATACTCATTGTGGGAATTAGATAGAGAAGAGTAAATCCTTCCCTGCCTAATGATGTCCTCCCACTGAGGACAGGATGCAATTGATGTAAAGTACTTAATGAATTGATGCTCAAATAATGTGCCTGGACCTTAACTGAATGCTCTTGTTTACCTGCACACCAGGAGCCTTAAGCTAATGATCTGGAGCCCAAAATACTTTTGAGGTCATTGTTACAGTCCTGGAAAAGGATGCAGGCTTCCCAAGGGTCAAATGGAACACACCAGAGAGGGAGGCTGCCAGCCGGAGGCTGGGAATTCAAGAAACTACTTAAGGTTATGGGAACTGTTTCCTGCTCTTCCAAACATGTGGGAGTAGGGAAGAGAATGTATCACCTTTATTTTTTTCTTCCAGCTGTAGGAGACTTACAGGCTCACCCTAAATTTCTCTCTTCTTTTTTCCATTTGTGGCCACTCTGCCAGTATGAGTTATGTAGCTAGAGAACCTATTATCCCCTTTTGTCCTCATGCTTCTGCTCTCTTTGATATTTTGCTACTCTTTTGAGAAATTACCTTGGTCTCTGGTTACTCCACTTTACTTTTGGGGGGGGGGGTTACTGGGGATCGAACTCAGGACCTTGCACTTGTAAGGCAGCTGGCAGAACCCGACTTTACTCTTTTTGAGCTCAAAATCCCAACTGTTCTTTCTCCCTACATGGCCTTTTCTTTCTCAGGGTGCCATCTTAGTTGGGGTTACCATATTGTCTCATCACATGACTGGCTGCCAATCTATCTGGTCACATGATTGGGCACCATTTTGGGTCAGCCACTGCCATATTTATTTACCATTATTTCCTTTTTTTTTGGTTTTTTATCAACCTGCCTTATGCTCCCAGGTAATCTCACCTTTGTAGATAGGAGATGAGCCTCTGATCTTAGACAACATGAGGACCTTCTCCCTCTTTTCTTTTAAATTGGGCTAGATCTCTTCCTTGTTTCTTACAAAATTCAGAGCTATGCCTGAGCAGAACAAAATAACAGCCAGTAAAGCTTAATTTAAGTGACTGAGTACACAAAAGTAGAGCCATAATTGTTCTTAAAACCTTTTAAGGTTTTCTGATTTTTGTTTTTTGTTTTTTAAAAAAGGTTTCCCTCTCTACTGCCTTAAAGAAAGAATCAGAGTTTTTGCTATGGGGTATTGTTTCCCAAGTGGTTCTGAACAGAAGAAGCCTGTGGTGTACCTAACCAGTTAGCAAACAAAGGCTCCTCCTAGCTCTGACCCCTCCTGCACCTAAAACATGTCTGGGTCTTACCCAGACTTGCCAGGCATGTTTTCTTCCATTGTCCTTTGTTCTCAGTAGGGTTTGTGTGACCCCTGGTTCCCACCATATGTAAATAAGGTGAATCCTAGTGTACCTTTCTATCCAACTGTATAAGCTGAATGTATCTACCTCAACCAATGAACTAATGTTGAGTGTCTTGCCACTGTATCCTCACCCTCCTTTTCCCAAATCTATATAAACCCTGTTCACTGCCCAGACAAGGCTGATCACTTTGTGGAGAAGTCCTCAATCAGTCTGCTAGTGAAATAAACCTGCCCAAACTTCCAGGATGTGTGCTCAATTCTTCTCAGTCTGATTCTGTTATACCACCTAGAGCTACAACACTCTGAGTTAGATTTGCTACAATAGTTCCATCCTGCTTAAGCAGATCCATCAAGTAGCACAATGTGGCTAAGGAAGTCCCAGTGGTGAGGGACTCCACTCTGATCTAATGGGAGTTTTGAAGGGCTAGGTAGAGCCATCAAGTGGCTCAATACTCCTCTCTCTCTGAGGAGCTAATGGGCCCCCATATGGAGACAAAATGCTTTCAGTAGGACTTTCTTCTATGCTTCTGATAGCTCCTTAAGATTCTAGCCTTATTCTCAGTTCATAAGGAAACATACTTGGGAAGTCTATACTTCCCAAGAAGATAAATGGGCCTTAGGAAAAAGAGAAATGAAAAAGAGACTCTGCTGGTATTTAGAGAACAAAACAGGTCCTTCCTTAAGGGACACAGTAGAAGGCTATAAAAACCCTTCGTGATTTTTTTCTATCTGGGAAGAGATGCTACATTAGAAACGGTCACTAAAATTTTCGCAGGACTTGGACTGGTGGCAGCCACCCAAGAGGTCTTTAAAGCCCATTATGTGCCTATAATAACCATGGCAATCCCAAACTATCTCCTTTGTTAGAACTTATACAGAGAAGGACATACCCTGGGGAAGAATGGCAGTTAGACTTTACACACATGCCATCATGTGGGGAATTTAACAGATAGCAATCCTACTTGATACCTTTACAGGCTGGATTGAAGCCTTTCCTACTCCTTCAGAAAATGCTATAGTGGTAGTCAAGTTGCTTCATAAAGAAATCATCCTCCAATTTGAGCCTTCTTGGTCTCCCCTTCCACCTTTAATAAATGAGAAACCTTGCCACTGTTTATGCTTCTTTCATTCAGTTCTTTGTCCAGGACAGAAAGGGCCTAAAAGTCACCTCTAAGGGGAGACTCCAGTAGCCCAGAATCCAGGAATAGTCAGAATATAGTAGATAGGTAAGTTAGTTAGATATCTTGTAGGCAGTTAGTACAATCAAGGAGCTATCATGGAGGACAATCAGGAGCCAACATAGAGTACAATCAAAACACATTCACTGAAGGTCAGCATTGTAAAAGAAGACAAACTACTACACCTACATGATTCCCTATAGGGATGAATAACAGTGATTGGTATCCTAAATAGGTATCAATCACCTGGGTGGGGGACCAAGATCTTCCAGGAAAGATCCCTGACCCACCCCTTACTGAAAATCCTTGCTCATTCCTCCTACACTTGCTACATGACTTGCTTCTCCATTTGGTCCCCATTTAATCAGTATTATCTAAGCAACTATATATACCTGTTGTTATCTTATTGCTTGACCACAGTTTTGTCCCACCTCAAACCTGCCTCATGATTTCCCATTGGATCATTAGTACCTAAGCAACTGTACTTGTAATCTTACTAGTTGACTATAGTTTTGCCCACCTTGAACCCACATCACCTCATGGCTTTGTCCAATAAAACACCTTTGAGAAGCAGAGTGGGCAGGCAACACATTTTCCAATCCCCCTTCTGACTCTCTTAGACAGAAGCTATCTTTCTCTCAATAAAATTTTCCTACTCCTTACCTCCCTGTTCCTAGAATTCATTCCTCAATTTTAGAGAACACCAATTTGCATTTTGGATATCTTTCATTCTTCAATTTTAGAGAACACCAATTTGCATTTTGGATATCTAGCGGGTTTGGTAGTTATTCCTCCTATATCAAGAGTACCCTAACTATCCAGTATGAGACCTATGCTATAACATAAATGAAAAACTATTTAAAATTTGAGAGTTACACAATACACTTCATGTAACTGTACCCCAAGAAATCCCCATGAAGGGCTGGGGATTTAGCTCAGTGGCATCGTGCCTGCCTCGCAAGTGCAAGGTCCTGAGTTCGATCCCCCATACCATTAAAAAAAAATGCCCATGAAAATAGTTAACATGGCACTGTGCAAGATAAAACAGGGCCTTTGGGGATTAAAAAACAACTTCTAATATAAAAGACAATCAAGCATAAAAATACATATCAGATAACAGAATAAAATAGAGAGCACAGAAACAAATTCTCATATATATGGAGAAATGCAAATTAAAACAACACTGAGATTCCATCTCACTAGAGAAAGAATGGCTATTGTCAAGAAATCAGCCAATAAGAAATGCTGGCCAGGCTGTGGCAAAAACAGAACCCTTCTTCATTGTTGGTGGAAGTGTAAATTGGTACAACCACTATAGAAATCAGTATGGAGATTCCTCAAAAAACTAAAACTAGTGGTTCCATTTGACCCACTTGTGCCCCTTCTAAGCATCTTCCCAAAAGACTTAAAAGTATCATACCACAGTGATACATGCATACTTGTATTTTCATTTTTTTTTTTTGGTATCAGGGATCGAACTCAGGTCCTTGTGCTTGCAAGGCAAGCAGCAGAACCACTGAGCTAAATCCCCAGCCCCTTTTTTTTTTTTACTTGTGTTTATAGTAGCACAATTCACAATGGCTAAATCTTGAAAAAACCCCATGTCTATCAACAAATGAATAAAGAAAACATATTTATGTACAATGTAGTACTACTCTGCCATAAAAAAAAAGATAAAGGAGTGATTTTTAAGTAAATGGATGGACCTCAAGTCCATAAAGTTTAGTGAAATAAATCAGACATACAAGTTTAAATAACACATTGTTTCTCTTGTGTGAGAAACCCAAAGGTTAAATAAGGAGCAAACCAGAGGATAAGTATTGGGAAGTAGGTAAAACATATTCAAATGAAATGGGAAACAAGTGTGTGTAGGGGGGTGGGGGTGGAAAGGACAAAGGGATTTTAAAAAATAAAATGGAAGGGGAAAAATTGAAACAAAGCATTTGTAATGAGAGGAGAAGTGTTGAAAGGAGTGGAAGGGAATGGGAAAAAAAGAATTATGCACATTATGCACAGGTACAAATGCCCTATAATGAATGTGACCATTATTTATGGCAAATATGTAATAATAAAAAAATTTTTTAAACCCAGGCTTCAGTGGCTTCTTACTGATGGTAATCTCTGCCAATGAGCTGTCAGGGGGACACTGGGCTAGTATAAGTTTTAACAGATTGCAAGAGAAAGATATCCACTCTCACAACCCACTGACTTGGTGAGGCATTATCTGAGGATAATCTTGTAAATGGAGAAGATTCATGCCTCATTCACCAGGGAGATGAGGACATCTTGCTGGCCATAGTGACACTGGGATCATCCATCTCTTTTATTACCTTTGTGGAACTTGGTCAAGGAGTGAATGGTTAAACTGCAGGGCAAAATATGCAGGCTCTGTGAGAAATGAATGGTTAAACAACAATAAGTTTAGTGAAGTATGCCACGTCTGGTTGTCCTTCCCCTTTCCCCAAGAAAACTGCCTAGCCTTGAGATAGTTTCTTGCCAAAGTACTTTTCCTCTCTTTTTTCTCTTATACTAATATTCTAAATAAAAGCCTAAGAATTCTCAGCTTTGGTGCTACTCCTGGAAGTCTCCCTAACACTGGTTGCTCTTGGTTGGGATAGCCCCTCTGGGATTCTTGGTGATTGAACTAAGTCTCATCTCTGAATAATCTTTCATTCTCCACATGACTGTGGTTGTACACTGTGATAGTTACCTTTACTTGCTTCTGTGGTTCTGCATCCCATGGCTCATCTCCTTCTGGATCTAACTCCTCCTGTGAAGTGAAAAAGGATTTAATGAAATAAATTAGAAGATCAAAAAGTCTCACTGTCACTCCCTCTCAAAACTCTGGAGGAGGCTATCAAGTTATATAAAAGGTAAAATGCCTGTACAATGTCCCTAGAATCTGCTGAGAGCTCAGGTGACTCTGGGGCCTTCTGAAATGACTCTTCCACTAATGGAGGCTGATCAAAATCCAGATGCAGTCAGTTTGGACATGCTGGAGAAGAAGGCAATTCCCTATGGGTTGGTTCTATGGGAACCTCAAATTGAGGCCATTGCTCACAATAGGGGGTACTTGGAACTCCAGAAATTTACTGGGATACAAAAAGAGAAGACATTTTTTATGTGATAAAAACAACATTTTTACCACATAAAAATAGAAGATATTCTAAAGACTTTTCTATTAAAAACAAACAAACAAACAAAAACAGCCAGTGTGGTTGTTCATGCCTATAATCCCAGCACTCTGGGAAGCTGAGGTAGGAGAACTGCAAGTTCTAGCCCAATTTAGGCAATTTAGTGTGACCCTGTTTCAAAAGCGCTGCAGATGGAGCTAGGATGAAGGCCTTGGATTCAATCCCCAGTACTGAAACAAACAAAACAAAATAAAAACAACCAAACCAAAACAAAAAACCCTACAAAAATGGGCAGGGGAGGGAGTGATTAACCTGTCACTAGGCAGCCAGCTCCAGGAGTGGCTAATGCATAGATAGGCAGACCAGGTCCCATCATCCTCACCTTTTTCCTCATATCAACCAGAAAGCAAAGTAAGAACTGCTCCTACAGGCAGCTAAAAACTTAAAAAAATAGGAATAAAGTAAAATAAAAGAAAAAAATACTTCCATTTATAAGGCTACAGGTCCAAAAAGAAAAAAGAAAAAAGGAGGAAAAAAGATTAAACTTTAATAAACATCACATCCTATATGCACAATGTTAGGCCTACATTACTTTATAAAGCAATCACTAGAAAAAAAATAATAAAACTAGCCAGGTGCTACAGGACTGCACTCCTAGCACTCTGAGGCTGAGTCAGGAGAAGCATTAGTTCCATCCTTGAGTAGATAGCTAGGTGGTTTAGGGAGACTCTGTCTCAAAATAAAAATGAAAAATGGGCTGGGAATGTTTCTTGGTGCTAAGGCCCTGGTTCCTTCTGCAGGTAACCCCTCCCAAAGAAAACAAACAGTAAAATATAAATTACATATATGATATCTTAATGTAAATATATGACATACTGTGTATAGGTACAAATAATTTATAATGAAATGTAAAATAGATTTATATAATTTTATATAATTGGAAATACAAATTTATGTACTGCTTTATATATTAAATAATTTATAGACTGGAATCAAGAGGCTGGGTTCTCACACTACAAGGAACTGGACACATATTCCTTAATCTTTGGTTCATTGTGCCCTCGATGAAAGATTTCAGTCAAGACACAGGTAGCAGTGTTACCAGTCACTGAGTGCTACAGCCTGCATGGCTGAAAGGTCCAAGGAGTCAGAATCACAGCAGTGGGGGATTAAGAAAAAACAAAGACAAAGAAATACAAAAGAACAAAGAGAAACAAAGCTGGGGACAGGTGGGGCTCTTCCTCCTGATGGGAGAAAAAGACCACCAGGCAACTGCTGTGTGTTTATTTATAGTGGTAGAGATAAGGGAAGTGCAGGGGAAGGTAAAAACAGCTGGTCTGTAACTGGAGTCAGGAGAGTGGGAAGGTCTACAGAATATCATGCTTTAATAGCTTTGTGGGGAATGGATGAGGAGGAAGACACATCCTCTTTTCAGCCAGGCCTTGCTCCACCACACCCTCTTGTCACCTGTTCCTCTTCCATGGGTCCATGCTTCATCCATGGGAGGAGGCGAGTTAGGCCTGGCCATAGTGATCTAAAGTTCAGTGCTCCCAGGATCTCCCCCTGTTCTGTTTTGTAGCTGCAGCTTGTGATGATGCTGTCTCGAGGTAAGTTCAGTGAGTTGTCCTAGGAAGACTCTGCAGAGGACTAGTAAACAAATCATTAGTAGCAACAGGAAAATCAGAATTTCCAGGATCACAGCAATGCTATGTTTGGCCAAATTGAAAGGATTGAATCCATTTAACGAATCAAGAACTGATTTTGCCACATCCTCAGAGGTGAGGAAACTAACATGAACATGTTGAATGGACAAGATCTGCTGATGAAACTTTTGGAGATCTAGGCTGAAATTGGTATGATGAAAGATACCCATTAAATGTACAGCAACCTTTTCCCACTCCCACTATGACTCATTGTAACGAAGAGCAGTGATGAAAACCTGAGGGTATTCAGCATGGCACTGCAATCCTTGACAATATTATAGGGCTTTAACTTGATTACCAATCTCTGCACTGTAGCTTCTAAGGCATTAACCAGCACTTCCAATTTAACATCAACATCTTCCTAGGTCTCAAGGGCACAAGAGGTAATTTTTGCTAAATGATTGACAAACTGTGCATTCTGTACATTTTGTGCTAAGGCCATGGATGCAACCACGGTGGTGGCAAGCACAGTAACTAGAGACATAATTCCTAGGATAATAAGTCCTACCATCCAACGGGGGTGAATGAGCTGTCTGAGTATTTTTTCCAGTACTTGCAGTTCACAGTCATGATGTCAAGAGCCAGAAATGTTAGTGGGTATCATGAGAAAGGACAAGCTATATATTTTTTTTCCACCATTAAGTTTATTGGTACATTTTAGGTATAAAATACATTTACATACATCATTGGGATCTTGTACCATTACATGAGTATCTTGGTTC